CTTAAAGTAATCAAAAATATGTTTTATGGAATGATTAAGGATAATCGAGTATTTGCTTATGCCATGATTATATATAAAACATAGTTGAAAAGCATGTTATTTACGTTTGATGAATAAAAATGTGATAAATTATTATGTGCGATGTTCCATGGATCCAAAATGGTATTTTTGGATTGAGGACGTCAAGAAGTACATGTGTGTAAAATTTCACGTTAATTGGACTCCGTTTGGGTGGTCAAACGGGCGTTGACCGCCAAGACAACTGCCATACCCGACCGGGTATTGACAAGTACCCGACCGGGTATTTGCTGAAAATTTGCCCCAGGGGGCTACTGCCTCCTATACCCGATCGAGTATGGGTAGATACTCGATCGAGTATACATTGAAAATTAGCCTTACGGGCTACTGTCTCCTGTACTCGACCGAGTATAGATGGGTACTCGGTCGAGTATTGGGTTATACTCAAAACAGGCAGTTTTTGAGTAGGTTAACGTGGGTCGTTCAGGTGGGACCCATCAACGTTGATTACTAAGGATGTTTATATGACTATAGGGCTAGGTATTGCCCATAGTTAAGGGAATGAAAGGTAAGCCATATCCAGGTTAGAATTTGGTAGAGAATAGAGTGGGGATTGAGTACCCTTGGACGATAAATGATCCAGAATAGTCCAGGTGGGGTTGAGTACCCTTGGACGGTAAATGATCCAGAATACTCCAGGTGGGGTCGAGTACCCTTGGAAGGTAAATGATCCAGAATACTCCAGGTGGGTTCGAGTACCCTTGGACGGTAAATGATCCAGAATACTCCAGGTGGGGTCGAGTACCCTTGGACAGTAAATGATCCAGAATACTCCAGGTGGGGTCGAGTACCCTTGGACGGTAAATGATCCTAAATACTCCAGGTTGGGTTGAGTGTCTTGGACGGTAAATGATCCTAAAACACTTGGTAGTATGAATCGAAGGTAGACTATAGCTTGTGAGCTAAGCAACCGGGAAAAGAGTGAGAAAAGTCAAGTAAGAACATTATCTCTAAAAGACTCTTTAAAGTAAATAACCTACGGGTTGAGTATTTTACGAGTATATATACAGTATGTATCATCGGGCGGATGAGAGACATCTATATATATGTATCACCCTATTTTTGGGTCTCGTGTCTGAAACATTAGTTATTCTTCATATAGCTTGCTTGTCACTAGTACTTCTATGGAGTAATGACTCCTCCGAGGGCCCTCACATTTTTTCAGGTTAAGGCTAGAGTCCTACTACCTGCACCTTTGCCTAGGGTGATCGTCCAAGGAGGAAGACGTGGTTCTTGCTTCCATTCGTATTTGAAATTTATAAACTGCTCATGGATTTTTGAACAATGTTTTCCTTAAAACAGTTGGGGGCCTGCGTGCCCGTGTTTGCCACGTGTGGCTAAGTATCAAACATATTATTATTTCCGCATTTGTTTGATTATGATATTGATGTTGATTGTATGTGTTTACTAATCGGTTTGGCAATAGAATCAATCGGACGCCTTGTACAATTCAATAGGGATGAACTGTTGTTGTTCTTATCGGGTTGTACGCCGGTTGTCTACGTGGCTCGGATGCGGTCCGGGGCATGACATAACAAACCAATAATCCATAGCAAACCTTGGATGAATATGATATGGATGAGCAAAAATCCTCCAAAAATCTATTTTAGAATCCCTACTTATGATAATCTTATGTATACCAATATGGATAAAATATGCTATTTTTGTGAGTCTCATATGGTTCAGTAGATCACCTTTTTTAAAAGTGAAAAGGAAGCGTGGCAAAATGTTGGGCACCAGACGAAGCTAAAAAAGAACCAACTCTACACTTAGCTTCTGAGCTCTGCTTATATGTGTTTAAAGTTATTTGGGAGAGCAAGAGTAATGATGCAAGCTGTTAGGTAGGCTCTGTGTGGAATGATATACCCAGATTGGAAAGTTGGTAATGAGACCACTTTTGTAGTTATGAAAAAGTGCTGCCTTTCCTTTTAAGGCAGCTCTCAGGTAAACCGTCATTACATGTTTTTCTATATGCCGATGGTTTTTGAACACTCGACGTCTAATGTGTGATGTGGGAGGTCATTATGTGTAGAAGTGTAAGCATTTTGCTGCCTGATTTTTTTTTTTTTGCAAATAAATATTCTTGTCTATCAAGTACTATTTGATTTTATCCAACAAGTATAATCATATTTTGATGATTGGTACATTTGTTCTGCAGTAAAGCATATGCTATAATGCAGACCAGGATGTTTGGTTTTGTTATGAATGTGATGCAAGGGGGGATGCCCCCTATTCTTGATGTAAATAACATTTTACATCCAGAAGAAATATTATAAAACATAATTTAAATGATACACACAATTATTAGACCACAGTTTTGATAATTTAAGAGTATATGAAGATCTAAACTAATCTAAATATATGCATAAATGTGAGCAAAGCTAAATCTAACAAATACTACCAAACACGTAAGATATTGCTAATAAAGTTTGAACATATCTTTATAACAATTGCAATAGTAGCTATTTAAGATTATGGAATTGAGTGTGTGGGAACATGAGATTGTAGCTATTCCAGATCAGCTTACTATACATCACGAACACTAATATCATTTATTATCTTACATACATCTTGTAGAGTGGACGACTTCAATTATCTTACGTTGTTGCTGTTTACCGGAGTAGAACAATCAACAAATACGTTTTAAGATTGTTCACCGGAGTAGAACAATCAACGATTATGTTTTAAGATTGTAGGGTGTGTTTCGGAAAATAAAGAAAATTAATTAAAATAAATTAATTAAATAAAATGACTAGAGAAAAACAAGAAAGGAGATGAAGCAGAATTAGTCAAAGCTCGTGCTACATACGATTTCCTTAAAACATATTTGTTGCCTCCCACGGTGCTAGGAGCGTTGCAACAATCGTTTCCCAGGATACTATGACTACGAACTAATGTTTGAGCACACAAACAAGAGTTCCAGCGAACGAGAACCAAGTATGAACACAGAGGAAATACGTGAGGAATGTATTGTGCGTTGTCTCAAACCGTGTGTTTGTTGCAAAGCACCTGCCAGCTATTTATAGGAGGATTTGTTGTGTGTTAAATGGACCTGAACGTTGGACTTCAATGACCGTATCTTTGAATGACCGTATCTTTGAATGACAGGTTTTTGGACGACATTCGTGTCTGCAGGTCGCCCGCGCACACGAGTCGCGGTTTTTCTTCTCCGTTTCAGGATTTGATCGGCACCCCCCCCCCCCCCCCTGCGCGTAGGAGAGAGCCTTTCCCTTTAGGAATCTTAACTCCTTAAAAGAGGCTTCCCTTTATAAGGGGGTGAAAATCCCTTGAGTTTTTCGGTGTGGGATAAAACACACTAGAAACTCACCATTTTCCCAGTTTTTCCATTTCAACGAGTGAACTTCGAGAATCAATTTCTCATTCACCCGTTATCCGTTTTGAGTGTACCATATATCGAATTGTAGCCCTTAACAAGGACAATCCGAAACCACTTTGACCCGACCCAAATCGGAAGTGGACCCCACTCAAATAATTGCCCCAAAAGGATCATTTAATGCAATTTTAACACATTTTTCCAACAGTTGCTAGGTTAGATTTCAATTTTTTTAAGTGCAAGTCGTGCAAATCATAGCTAGGCAAAGAACTGAGTTAAATATTTTGATAAATGGTCAAAATGGTGTGAAAACATTAGTATGAGTACATATGAACTTGTATGGCTTATATGTTTCACAATTAGAATAACTCGCCTCCAAACTTAAGATGCAAACTATTACGAAGTATTAGTTACTATAATAGAGTCAAACATTCTAATGTAAAAATAAAAGTTTGATGGAAAACTTTTAAGGCGCATGTATGGAAAACTTGAAAAACTAAAGATGTAAGCAAATGTATATTACTTTTTATCCAATTTTTCCAAGTCTATTCATCCAAGTTTTTCATACATGTGCCTTATTTTTATTATTATAAATCAATACTTTTCCATACATGTGCCTGATGTGCATGTCATATGCATTTGCACATTTTGCTCCAGAATAAAACGACGTTACTCTAAAATGTAAGGATTTAATATTAGTAACTCTTGTACATTATCGTATCCAAAAATCATTGGGCATCATCCAAATCGTGCAACGCGCGTTACACTCACTGGTAATGAGTATAAACATTAATGAAGTAAGAAAATCTGAAAATCAAGGTAACTTGAGCTCAATAAATTATAATTATACACTAGTATAGTCATTCATGTTTTCACCATAGAATTTGAAACACTCGAAGAGATTGATATTGCAAATTTTGTAGATGACTTTGCATCTAAATATAATCGAAGAATATCTCTTTTTAAATAAATCATAAGTAATTAATGACTATTTTCATTTTAATAATTACATTTATTAGTAACTTGTATTTTAAGATAATTTGCTTGTGTTGCAACTTGAAAAAAAAGGCTCAAATATTATTCTTGCACAGGTCTCCGTTTTCTCGGGACCGGCCCTGCTTACCTCAAACTAAGGTGATTTTTTTAAAGACATTTTGACTGACTTTCTTAGACTACAACAAATATAATCTACTAGTATAACTATATAAAAAAAATCAAACTACTCCGTAGGGAAAAGTTCAAATAAAAAGACCTCTTCCCGTGCAAAGTGCGAAGATATGCACTTTTGCATGTTTCGCTTTCCCTTTTGCGTGTTTCTATTGCACTTTTTCACGGTAACGAAAAAGTGCAACATATTTACGAAATTGCCACCGCGATTTTGGTCGAATTTTGTGCATTTTTGGCTCGTTTTGAGTCATTAGATGTGGAAATGAATGCACGAGATTCATTCTCGCTTTGATGGGAAGAGGTATTTGTATTTGAAGCATCCTTACTCCGTGTATACGAAGGAAACAAAATTCAAATTACAATCCTTTCTAACTTTCTGTTTATAAATATAACCGCTGCACTGATTTCTTGAAACTAAAGTCGGTGCTATCGTCTTCCTTCAAAGAAAGCGTAAGACTAACTCAGTTGTCTCTCTGTTTCTTCCATACGCTGTAAGGATCACCATTACCTGAGTGGGGAGGACCCTACAATGGCGTCTTCTGAACGAGAACTCCAACCAACAAATGAAGGTGCTGGCCGTGAAAAACCAGAGCTGGGCGTTACTGTCACCGGAGTCCAGCCGTCTTTCACCGCCCCTCCGCCACGGGTGACCCTTAATCCGGCCGACTGCGAAATAGGCAAGCCTTAACATCTCTGTCGCTAATCTTATTATGTCTCATTACATTTTTTTTGGAATACATATAATGGAGTTATCTTTTCAATAAGTTATGTTGGCTTCAAGAAATAAGAACGAGATGCCAAATCTTGAATTGTATCATGTTGCCTTAAATCTTGAATAAGTGTACCTTGAGTTATCTTTCACATTTACTTCTTTTGCTTTCTTTCAAGAACTAGGAATTAGAACTCATACTGGCATACTGTACATGTTTCATGTTAAATTGACTACTTAACACATTGCAATCCCCCATCCCAGATTTTGATATAGGATGCAATGGACTCCAAGGCTCAGCACTTTATCAAAATGTGTTTGCTTGGTGTTGGTCTGGTGCTCGCGCGAATGTAGGAATAACTGGAGGGAAGTACTGTTTTGGATGCAAAATCATTTCAGATCAGCCTATACACCTAGTGGACACCCCACCGTTCCGAAACAATTTATGTGCAGTTGGCGTGTCAAGGGGAGATGATCCTGTTGGAAACCTTGGAGAAAGCTTGCATAGTTTTTTTTACTGGGCAACTGGAAAGACTTACACTGGTGGAAGGAGTTCTTACTATGGTTGTAGGGTTGATTACTATGGTGAGAGTTTTGAGGTTGGTGACACAATAACCTGTTGCCTTGACCTTGAAACTTCCGATCATCCACTCGTCAGTTTCTCCAAGAATGGGGAATGGTTGGGAGTGGCAGGAAATATAGAGGATCATCTAATTGAACATCCAGATCAGCAGTCTGCTTTTTTCCCTCATATTGTACTGAAAAATGTTGTGGTTCGCTTACAGTTCAGTGTGGAGGATGGATTGGAAGTGGTTAACGGGTATAAGCCATGGGCGTCTGCTATAGAGGATGGAAAAGCATTGCCAGGACCAAGTTTCTCAGATATTGATGATTGTGAACTTAGGATGCTGGTGGGTTTACCCGCTTCAGGAAAGAGTACTTGGGCAGATGAATGGGTGAAGGAGCACCCCGAGAAGCGTTATATTGTTCTTGGGACAGGTTTAATCTACGATAAAATAAAGGTATTTTATAATATCGGTTTCAACATTAATATGACAATATGTTAAAGACACCGATCTTCAAGAGAATAGAGGGGTTTGGATGGCTTAGAGTGTATCTTGATACATACGTAGTATAATATTTCTAGAAATGAACAAAAGGTGATTGAAATGTTTATGCTGACCAACAAATCCCTCCCATCCACACTGGCCTTAACTGAAGTTTTTTTTTTGTCATCCCCTTAGGCACATGCTATAACAAACAAGTATAACTATGGTGAGCGGTTTGATGAGATCAGTAACACACTTTTACCCAGAGCTTCAAAGCTTCCCCGTAATTTTATACTTGATGAAAGAAATCTGAATAAGATTGATCGTACGAGCAAACTGGAGCAATTCTCAAACCATAAAAAGGTTTGCGTACTGTAATTCTTTTTATTAGTATACATTTATATTGATTACGAAAAGCTTATTAATGGGAGTATTCTTGACATTTGTCATGCTGGTTTTGTGTCATTTTACTAGATCGCTGTCGTGTTTTTTCCAACATTTCAAGAGCTCCAAATGCGTTGTGATAAACAACTCCAAGAAAAGTGGTCGGAAGGTGATAAAGTTAGTAAAGTACCAATGATTCCAATGAATGAGATGATAGGTAGTGCTATATGTATATAATTATGTAATAAGTTGATGTTCCATATGTTGTTGCATCACTCTGATGTGATTTGTAATTTGCAGTCAATTTCTCTTTACCAACGAGCAAAGACATGCCTTGTGCAGATGAATACTTTGATGAGGTAAATTGTGGTGCAAGCGATATAAACCCTTGTCTCATGCCTCCCTCCCCCCTCATCACTATCTTTTGGCCACCTTATGTGTATGCTCATCAGGTGATCTTATGTTGTTTGTGGTATATGCTATCGTGTTTTAAGGTTATGTTTCTAGAGCTGGGAAGGGAAGAGGCACAAAGGTGTTTGGATGCAATGAAGGCACATATACATTCGGGACTACCAACAAATCTTGCACCACATTCAAGATCAGAAGAAGCAATTGATATGAATCCTGCACCTGCACCTCGATATGGTAGGTGGCAATGTGAATAAACAAGACCTATTGAGACCAACATGTTATTTGTATTGCTTCAATTCAAGGATGTGTTTGGATGAAAGGTATTCAGTGTTTAGCTTTGGAGTGGTAGCGTATATCATGATCAATAGAATTATTCAGAAAACAAATAAAAGGTGATGAAATGTTCTATAGTCGTATATGATGTAGCCTTAAATATCTAAAAATATAGATATAGCCTTCCAAAACATTTTCTTCTAGTAAACTTCCAATCAAGCAGACCCTTAGTGTGAGTTTGGATGTAGAATTTGGGAGCACTAGGTCTATATTTTAGATTCCTGAAATATATATAAGGTTCGCTGATCAATAACATAATAGGGGATCATATAACATTTCAAACACACTTCATTCATTCTTTAGCATCATTCTTTTTTTCAAGATATAGATTAAGCTTTACATAAAAAATCCTTCATCCAAACGGGCTGTGAGAAATTGATGCACATGACTTATCCTGTGTTCTGTTATCTTACCACCAGATCCTGGGACTTCATCTGTGCAACCACCTGGCGGAGGATATGCACCGGACAGAGAGATGCCACCGGAATCCTAGCCTCTTTTCAGGCACTACTGATGAACAGCTTCTGGATAGGTTGACCAATACATACAATGGATAGAGCATAAGAGAAAAAGGGACGAAGTAAATAGAAGGGAGTGAATATATCTCAATGTGGCTATTCTTTTGAAACCTCACTCTTCTGAATGTTGACTTGCTTGAAATCTAACAACTTCATGTGTGTGTATATGTTTCATTATTCATAATTCATCTCAAATATTACGTAGTACCCCGTACTATTTTTTATAACCAAAGTGGTTTTTACAACATACTAAATATTACGTTGTACACCATTAATAATACTCCGTAATGACTTTTGAGATTGTTTGTACCTGTAGTTAGTCTCCACTTTTGAGAGTATTTTGTGTTGGTTGATAAAATAATTCATAAAGGAATGGATTTTGCGATCACTCTCCATCTTTTGCGTATCTGGTGTTGATATGGCCTGCGCCCTGCGGCATGCTTGGCTAACTGAGCAAGTCAGTCTCAAGTTCGAGTCGTGCTTGATAAAGAAAAGCCACATTCGAGTTTATGTCGAATTTCTATCAAATTACAAAACATTGCTTCACTTGACTTTACTTCGAGTTCGAATCGTCTTCGAGTTGTATCCGAGTTTTGTCTGTCCTAGAAAGTGATATCTTTTTAAGTTTGATTTGTTATACGTTGAACACATATGTGCAACAATAAATAATAATTGTTTAAACATAAAACAATTCTTTTGAATCTGTTCGCCCATTTGCCTCTTACACATTAGGGATCTATTTGATGTCTATGATTCATTTACACCTAAGATGAATTAAATTCGATTAATTATGTTTAAATATGTTTGGATGCCACCTGAGAGTAGGGTTGAGTATAATCCCGTATCGATTTGGGCTGGGTTTAGTTGGGCTCGGCTGGGTATTTCCGAGGGGTTTGGGGGATGGGGGGATGGGGGGTGGGGGTGAAATAAATAAGAAATCAAAAAAAAAAATGAACCGGAACCGGCCCGGTCCGGCCCGGAACCGCCGCCTACCCGGGTCGGTCCGGTGCACCCATTCCCAAAAAAAGGCTCGAACCGGAACCGGCCCGGCCCGGGTCCATCCCTAGCTTTAACTGTAATTATATTAAATTATGTATTAGTAAACATTAAAAAAAGTTAATATTTTGAAATTTTAGATTAATAAAATCTTAATAATATATTTTATACATAATAGTTTGATTATATATTATTAAAAAAAATCGTAGTCAAAATAAGGGTTGTGAATAGTGGAACCCAAATGTTGCAACTTTCAAAGAATGGAGTAAGTACTGCGTATCATTTAGAATTTGAGATTTAAAGTTCTATTGCATTTCTTGAGTATAAATACGCAAAAAGTTTAAAATACATGGGATGGAACTAATTAAGTAAACATTAATTTGAAGAATAACTATGGTATGTTACCTTGCAAGTAAACATAGCCGGTGAGTGGTGATATTGAGTCAGGATGCATGGTGAACACAAACATTTATTTAAAAAAAAGGATGAAACCCCATCCTTGAGGGCCTCCAACTTCGATCGGACGGTACGTTGGAGGATGTAAATTTGACTATAATCCCAATCTGACAGATAGGGAGTGAGGTTCTGTCCCCGTTACTTGCAGAGGCTCTAAGCATTTTTAGCATAGTAACCCCTCATCGCAATTGTCGGGATTCGAACCTGGGTCCTAACCCTTGTGACACTCCCTTGCTATCAGTTGAGCTACGCCCACTGGTACAATCATTTATTTAGAACCTACCTAATGCATGCAGTTAGGTTAAAGATGCAATTAGGTTGAAAAGACTGCAAGTGATGAGAGAATTGAAGATGAAGGAAGAAACACAGAAGTAGTACTGTATTAGAATCTAGCTACAATGACCTAAACATGTACATATAAAATTTAACTACTCTCTACCAGCTGCATCAAGCTAAGCTAGCTGATCATCTCCACATGCATTTCAGATTTGCATCCAAAAAAGTCAAAAACATGCATGAGATTACATAAACTACATCCATCATTAATATAATTAATACTCTCAAGTAGTTTCACCACCGTCCACCACCACCACCACTCACTAGAGCTCCCTAGCTCCTCTCCCCGCCCTCGCAACCACCGTGCATCTCCTGCTGCTTAAATCCACTGCCCAATCCGAAATCACCAAAACTCCCGCTGCCACTTCCGCCGTGCACAGGTGCAGCTGCCTCGCTCTGCAGTATCTGGAACCCACTTCCAGAACTCATCCCGAGCTGCCCATACAATGCCGCCTGTTGCTGCTGCCCGTACATCATAGAATAGCGCGCTGCCATGAGGGATTGTGACGCCATTTGCTGTGCTTGCTGTGCCTGCTGCAGGTAGTGCGCTCCAGACTGCTGCGCCATCCCACTCCCAGCCTCCATAGCGTACTGCCCGGAGATGCATTTACAATTTCAAGGATGAAATGATGTGTAGGAATTAACATGTACTCCTTCCGTCCCAGAATTTACTTCCATAGTACAAATGACACACGGATTAAGAAAGTGAGAATTGTGTGGTGGAGAGTTGTGCAGAGGAGAGAGAAATGTGTAAGAACGTGTAAGAATTGTTGTGAACCACAAACTATTTGCCAAAAAGGGAAAGGGAAGTTCTTTTTGGGACAGACGAAAAGGGAAAGTTGGAAGTAAATTATGAGACGGAAGGAGTATTTGTTATAGACTTTGTAAAATTTCCTTCATAAACACATTCCCACACTAACATAATGCATCATTTCCATTTGAAGTACTAGATCATACAGGACTTTGATAGTTGTAAAATACACATAAACGTCATACATCTACCTAACTACACTAGACCACAAAATTTCATTCTAAGGTACTCCCTCCGTCCTTTAAAATTTTGTCATCTTTCTTTTTTTGGACGTCCCAAAAAACTTTGTCACTTTCCCTTTTAATCAATTATTTTGTGGATTCAGTTATTTCTCTCTCCTCTACACAAATCTCAACCACACAATTTTTACATTATTATTCTTCGTGCCGGTCAACTTTGACAAAGTTTTAAGGGACGGAGGTAGTATGAAATACTACCCTAACACGAGGACAAACTCAAACATAAAATGTGGCATTTGTATATCTTAGAACAAATTTAAATGTCGGATAAAACAAGTGTTTAATATTTGTGTATAATCTAGGCCTCTTTACAAATTATGTGCATGTTCAATATCTTAGGAAGTGTTTACATATTCATAAACTATTTTAAAATCTCTTCAAATTTGTAAACTCCAAATTAGAATATAATTAACAATTGACATCCTAATTAAGCGAACAAAACGATAGTGTTTGACCAAGAAAAGACAAATTTGTAAATCAATTTCAGACAGAGGTAGTAATTTTTATACTGTTAAATAGTGTTATGTGTGGAATTAATTAATCACCTAGTATACATGAAAGTTTTATGGATTTTACATGTTATACGGACTTTGGGCATTGGCTAGGCCCCTCCAAAGGTAAACATATACCGCCGTGCGTTTTATATCGAATCTAGATCAGTGTGTCATTTTGTCGCTATTCATTTACTTTGGAATCTCAAATAATCATCAAATATTCAAATGTATTTAATATTGCATCTTTTGTTTTTCATATATCCCCACCACCGAATTTCATTTCAACAAAACAAAAAATGTTCATTACTCCCTCCACCTCAATAAAACTCTTGTTTTGACTTTGGAAAAGAAAGTGAAAAATGTGGAACCTTAAATGGTTTGTAGGAGAAAAAAGTGAGGAAAATTAAAATTAAATAGTGTGACAAAATTCTTTATCGAAAAAGGAGAAAAAATTATATTGAGACGGACCTGAAAAGAAAGAATAAAGTTATGTGGAATTTTACCTGGGAATGCATCATGGGAAGTTGTGGTTGTGAATCGGCAATTGCAGCCAGATACATTAGGTTTCTTTGAAGTCTCGCTTCGTTTCTGTCGCAAAGAGATATCCTAAGTTATACTTTTCTTTCTTTAATTTTTGCAACATTTATTTTTGCACTATTTAAAGATCTTACTTTAACCACGATTTTCTACATACTAATATACACAATCAAATTATTACGCATGAAATGTTATTAAATTTCTATCAATGTGAATTTCCAAAATATCAAAATTTTATAATGTTTACTAATACATAATTAAATATAATAATTCGATTGATAAAGAAATAAGGAGTACTACGTATGATTTAGAACATTGTCACACAAAAAACGGAGTTCATAACAAATTATTCATCCGTCACGCACGCATCAATTCAATAAAAACATAATAGGATCATACTTCGTACATATTATTGTGTATATAGTTATTTTTTACCCAAAGAATTGTTTAATTATTGTCAGATTTTGATCAATATATGTCAGACTAAATAATAAAAACCACAAACTTGTTTTTTCACAAAAGGGAAATAATCCATTTGTAATTATTACGGAGTATGAAGCAGATAATAATAATAATATAATAATAATAATAATAATAATAAATCAAAGGAGTATATACTTACTCAGCCGTCTCTGCGTGTTTACCGGAGTTTTGACTCTCCACAATCTTCAGAATCAAAGATTTATTCTCATCCAAGTACTGAACCAAAATGAACAGTATATTAAGATCTGCTGAAATTAATTATGTACTCCGTATCTAAGACCTTTAAAAACGTAAGCAACAAAGTTTGTAATACGTCGACCCTTAAACTTGTGCCTTAACTATTTTTATTCCTTTAGGATGTTTTTACTAGGACGGTAATTTGCTGGTCTGGTCTGATCCGGTCTGATCTGATCTGGTCGGGTCTGGTCTCTTTGTATTTTTATAACTATCCAAGTCTGGTTTGGTCTGGTCTGAATTGGTCTGGTCTGATCTGGTCTGAACTAGTCTGGTCTGATCTGGTCTGGTCTGATCTGGTCTGATCTGGTCAGGGATGAATTACAGTCCAAGTAAAAACATTCTTAGTAGCATTTAATGAGTCATAATTTTAGGATAAATATGAAGATTTTTTTATGAATTGCACTCATTTTAAGGGGTATTAGAAATTGATCGATCTAAATAGGACTAAAACTCATATAAATTGCACAATTAAGACTAATAATTTATATTCAAAATAAGGCTTTATATACCCTTAATAGTCTAAAACTTCCGCTGTTCTTATTTGAGCATTTTTCTACCTTCTATGTTCTCTAGTACATCTCCCTTTCTATTTTCCGATGTTATTTGATATTTGTCTCTCTTTTCATTCTTAGAAAGTTTTTTTTTATTAAATACTACCTCCGTCTCGAAATAATCGTCCTGGTTTGACCTTCACACAGATTAAAAAATTGAAGTTGACTTCACATTGTAGCGACTTTGTTTGGCACTGTAGCGACACTGTTTGGCACTGTACCGACACTGTTTGGCGCTGTTTTGCACTGTTTGATACTGTTTTGTATAGATTTGTTTACCAAATAAGGAAAGAAGACAATTATTTCGGGACGGATCAAAAAAGAAAGCAGGACAATTATTTCGGGATGGACAAAGTATATCTATATATCCTCATTCTCCTTTTTCATTCTCTTTCATATTTTTTCATTCAAACATAACGCACTACACGTTTTACACTATCATTATTATTTTCATATTGAAACTTGTGTCAATGCCTATAAGGCCATCAATTGAAGAATGGAGGGAGTATATTTTAATGCTATTTAAGGAATTTTGTCTTTTTATATTTGCAAGCAATATCGTAGATATTACTCCGTAAGAGCATCTCCAATGGTACAATGTGCACGGTGCACATGTGTCATGAGAGGGATAAACACAAAAGATTGATTTTATGACATTTCTCTCACCGTCTTTCCACGGTCTTATGTGTTTTTGGTAAGCTTTTCCGTGCAATGTCAACCACAATGTCTACATCTAGACATTGTGCTTGACATTGTGAAGAAAAACTTACCAAAATGATATAAGATTCTTTAAATCAGGAGAGAGATATTTTATTTTTTGTTTTTTCATTGATTATCTCTCATGCCACGTATGCACCGTTAACGTTTTAGAATCGAAGATGCTCTAATACATAAACCATTCCGTGAAACATAGGCACCCAAAAAGACAATTATTCGCCACAAATAAATTGACTTGTTTGATTTCAAGACTAAATCATGAAACCATTTACCGAAGAAGGGCCTGTGTAGAAATTAATCTAGTCATAAACTTCAAAACCCCTCGGATAATTAAATTGGTTCATACCACATAAAACATCACTATAACACATAAAAATCGAATCTAGATGGAATGTAATCTTTTTTTCATCAGTCTTATCATGATGCATAAGATAAGATTCTAGAGGGGTTGAATAAAGTTTCTTAAAATGACAAAATTATCAAATTTTATCTCAAACCCATGCTCCTTTTTTGTATATGGATGAAAATAATTGTAGATAAGATGGTGCATGGCCTGAATTGAAATGCTTAAAAGAACATTACCAGTTTCCAAAATAGACATATGTGAGTCCCCAACTTCAGTATTTTCTTGGACAGAAATTAAAGTTTATGTGAACCAGCAAATTAAAAAGAAAAAGTTATCTGCAGACTGCAGATAATCCCTACAAGAAGAGGACCATGTATGTGGGGATGAAGACTAATAAAGTTAAAAGAATATATAAAGATAAAGATGAGAAAATTATTTATGTATGAAACATGAAGCAAAAGGCAACTTATATGTATACATTTCAAGTTCAGCGCATTACTCTATAAATAGATATAGGATAATCAAATCAATAATAAGATCAGAGCCAAAAGGGCAGACAGGTCAGAAGAGGCAGAGCGCAGAAGTAACAGAGAATGGAGAAGAGAAAAGAAAGATGGAGAAGTGATGAAGAAACTCTGATTGGAATGGAGGAAAATGAAATAAAAACAAAGAAATGAGTTAAGAATGAAAAGGGGCAGGGGCAGGGGCAGGGGCATGCAGAAGAAGAAGCACAAAATGAGTTCAGCAATGGATGGAGACCTGTTGAATGTGGTCAGTGGTGAGATTGTTGGGATAGTAGGCTGCCATCATCTGTAAGATTCCTTCAGGTTCAGGTGCAGGTGTTGTGATCAGCTGCTAGTTACTTCTCCAGTAAGAAGCTAAGTGGAGTATCTCTTTCTAAACTCTGATTTTTTATACCACCCCTACCTTCTTCTACCTTTAAATAATTTCCTTCAACCTCCTCTATGCCACACTTCTCCTTAGATCCTATATGTATCTATTACTTTGTCCTTTACCTATATACTCTCAAAATGATGTTTACATTTGTTTGTTTAGGATTGATTTGTGATGAGGTTGATTATTTTAATTTAAATTTTTAGTGATACTGAAAGAGAAATTTATCGAAGTAGAACCAATAACAGGGTACGTTTAACAAAAGTTGAGTACAATATTTTAGTTTTCAAATTAAATTAATCGGTAAGAAAGTACTCCTTTATTCCGAAAAATAGTTCTCGGTTTCCTTTTTGGGTCATCCCAAAAAGTAGTTCTCATTTCCCCTTTTGGAAAGTTTTGTGTGACTCACATTAATTTACTTTTTTCTTACACAATCATAACAATACATTTTCACTTTATTCTCACTTTCTTAAAGTCCGATCCAAGTCAATGCGGAAACTATTTTATGAGACGGAGGGATTTTATGAGACGGAAACTATTTTGAAGGAAAGTTACTGGTGGTCGGGTATGAAGAGGGACATCGCAGAGTACGTGAGTCGGTGCCTTACTTGCCAACAAGTCAAAGCGGAACATCAGCACCCGGCGGGACTTTTGCAACCACTTACCATTTCAGAATGGAAGTGGGAGCACGTGACCATGGACTTCGTGGTAGGGCTACCACGAACAGTGAACAACTATGATGCAGTATGGGTAGTGGTTGATAGGCTCACCAAGAGTGCACACTTTTTGCCTATCAACATTACTTATCCTCTTGAAAGATTGGCAAAGCTATACACGGAGGAGATTGTGAGACTGCATGGAGTTTCGATATCCATTGTCTCGGATAGGGATCCACGTTTCACATCCCGATTTTGGCCAAAATTTCAAGCATCTTTGGGTACGAAGCTAAAGTTTAGCACAACCTTTCACCCACAGACGGATGGGCAATCCGAGAGGGTGATACAGATTCTGGAAGATATGCTTAGGGCATGTGCTCTGGAGTTCCAAGGGAGTTGGGACAAGCATTTGACTCTGGTCGAGTTCGCCTATAACAACAGTTATCAGGCGAGTATTGGCATGCCTCCATACGAGGCATTGTATGGGAGGAAATGTAGAACACCGTTGTGTTGGGACGACGTTGGCGAAGCCAAGCTCGAGGGGATTGAACTTGTCGAAATCACCAAGGCTAAGGTGAAAGTCATTCAGGATAGACTCAAGGCTGCCCAAGATCGGCAAAAGAGTTATGCTGACAAACGACGCAGGCCATTGGAGTTTGAGGTCGGTGATAAGGTCTTTCTAAGGATTTCTCCTTGGAAAGGTATCATCAGATTTATATCGAGGGGAAAGCTTAACCCCCGATACATTGGCCCATTTGAAATCCTTGAAAGGATAGGGGCCGTGGCTTACCGTATCAAATTGACGCCAGAACTTGAAAAGATACATGACGTGTTCCATGTATCGATGCTCAAGAAATACGTGCGAGATCCGTCTCATATCCTTGAGAAACCACCGGTAGAGATTCGTGAAGACCTACAATATGCGGTGGAATCGGTGAAGATTGTGGGTCAACAGGTAAAGAAACTGAGGAACAAGGAGATTCCTATGGTAAAAGTCCTTTGGAGGAGTGATCGAGTCGAAGAAGAAACCTGGGAGACTGAGGTCTCAATGAGGGAGCAGTACCCTTTCCTTTTCGATTAGACACGCGGATTTCGGGGACGAAATTCCAAATAAGGGGGGGTGAACTTGTAACACCGTCCCCAAATGTATTTATCTTTAAGCGAATAATTCATTGAACTCTATGAAATTTTTAGTGAATTTACGAGGTTGTGAATTTGTATTAATTTTTTCGCGTGAATAGTAAAATGCACGTGGGGCCCACATCGGGAGTGGGAACCGCCCGATATTATCGGGACCACATATTATATTCATCTGGGTCTAGAAAATATTTATAGATGGTGGATACTTCATTTGGGCCATGGAAAGGCCCAGAGTTGACCGATCGGTCAATAGAGGCCCAAATACCGGTATCGATAAATTTATCAAATAAAAGCCCGAAAGTGGATTTTGGAGATTTATAAATTAAAGTTGGGGAATGCATATTCATTCTAAATGTTATAATTATTAAGAACACGTAATATATTTATTTAACCTGATAAAATAAAATATATCTAAAACAGTCCGGAAAATACAACTTTCGAGGCAAATTGTACACTTTGGGACAAATTAGGATGACCTCCCACATGGGTGGGGGCCACCCCACGAATTTGTCAACCTTTGAGGGCTGGATGAGGGCTAAGTTGGCTGAATAACAATTGATAGTATGGGGGAGACACCCATTGACATTTGGTAGACCCCCTCCCTTCACTCATTTGTCTAAATGAGACAAAAACCACCCCTCTCACCTCACCACCTCCACCCACTCGTACCAACACCCTAAGATAGCAAGGAGGAGCTCTGAAATTCACCATTTTCACACCCAAATTCGAGCTCAAGATAGAGGATCCAAGGAGGAGTGCTTGGAGAAGGAAAAAGGTGTAGGAAAGTGTGGAAATTGAGGTAATCACCTTGCCATAGCTTTCCCTTTATTCTTCTTCTACCATGAGGCATATTTATTATATGAAGAACCCTTTGGATGGTTCTCCATGTTCTAAGTATGGATTTATGGGTTGGAAAGTGGTTTTATGTCCAAGAACGGACATAGAAGCCAAATCGACCGGTTTGCCGGAAAATAACCTTTTATAGGTTATTTGTGTTGATATGGGTTTTGTGATGATAAAACCTTGTTAGGAACTTGATTTAAAGTATTTTTGAGCTTCGCCGGAGTTTCGTCGGAGTTGGTCAAAGTTCGCCGGAGTTGGTCAAAGTTCGCCGAAATTAGTCAAAGTTCAATCGAGAAGCGTAGAACGTGCTTGAGCTTAACTAAGGTGAGGATGACCGAATATGTTGCTTATCATCTTTGGGTTAATCTCATGGGATTTCCTAAGTGAATACAATGTGATGTGCATGGGTTGTTAATGGTTAATAATGCCTAGATAAAACTACTATTGATTATAAGTATAGTATGCATGATACACAAATTTATGAATAAATTGTGTATGTTTAGATGTTATGAATATGTGTGTATGATGGTTGTACCAATCATGAATTTCATTTGAGATAGTATACTTTGATACCATGAAGAGAAGCCATGAAGGTATGAAAGTGATACTTGATATTTAGGCCAATCATGCATGAAGGAAGAATTATATTGAAATAAATAAATAACTAGCATTGAAATATTAGTTGGAAATGTTAGTTGAGAAATGGATGAATTAGATCCTAAGAATGAGAATTATAAAGAATCGGTGATTATGAGCCGGGCTCGGGACCGATGTAGATAACGGTGATTATGAGCTGGGCTCTAGACCGTAGTAGATGACGGTGATTATGAGTTGGGCTCTAGACCGTGGTAGATGACGGTGATTATGAGCGGGGTTCTAGACCGTAGTAGATAACGGTGATTATGAGCTGAGCTCTAGACCGTAGTAAATAATGATGAATTGATACTAAATGAACGGATTAACTATAATGTATTAATGCTCCAGATTGAGGGTCTCAGAGATTTAAACTTCGATTATACTTAGTATAGTTGTCATTGTACTTGTCAAATGCTTCCAAGTACTGACCTCCCCTTCACGGGGGAGGCCACCTCACAGTTTCAGGTAGAACTTGAAGGTTGCTACTATCAGCCGTTGTTTCGGGAAGTTTCTGAGAAGAAGACTTGGTTCGTGCTTCTTCCGTTCTTGTTTTGAAAACAATATGAATAATGCTCATGGATATTATTTTCTGAATATACATTTCGGGGGTTTGTATACCCATGTTTGCCAAGTGTGGCTTGTACACTTGTAATGTTGTTTCCGCTGTTTTAAATGAATGATTTACATTATGTTTGTTTATGGATGTACTATGTGTGAATGATATTCATGACGCCTTGTATAGTATGGATGAGTTGGACTGCGGTTGACTATTCGTACTGTGCGGCGGGTTGTTGACGTGTCCGGCTAGGTCCGGGGCGTGACAGTACTAGTGTAAAGCCCGGGGCATTGCCCCAATAGCGCATCAATTTGATATAAGTTTGTTGAGGTTTATTCCCTCAACTCGCAGGCCCAACACGTAACCTGGGAGTTTCGAATGGGTGATGGACAAATAAGGTGAAGAAACAAGCAGGAAATGGGCCAAACAACTGTATTCACTCACTCGAACTATTACAAGCCGAAGGGCCGAACGTATTGTGCTATACTATGAACTGCTATTGCTGCTGTAATGCTAGAATGTCAAATTGTGAACCCTTTTACAGTGAAATAAATGTCACTATTTATACCGTCAATGGGAAGTTGGATCTGTCGACGTGGCAGGTTATGGGCGCCATGATCCCAACAACCAAATCTTCTACATTAAATGCGCTTCCCGCCAGAATCTTGGTTTCCCACCATTGGATAGGGACGCTCGTCCCCAAGGGCTTGGCCGATGTCTCCTGCTATGATTCCGCTTCTTTTCCAATGGGAGAGAGGATGTTCGTCCTCGGTTAGGGCAACTATCCCTGACGTATCCTTGGACCGCCCTCGGTCCCCTATTAAGAAGTGGGGACATCCATCCCCGAGTACCTCGTAGGGATCCTGGGTCTGGATACCTCCTGATGATGAACAATGTGCGTCCCCTGGCCCTTGGGTCTTGGTACTGGCTGATGATGGACTATGTACGTCCCCTGACCCTTGGGTCTTGGTACTGGCTGATGACGGGCGATGTACGTCCCCTGACTCTTGAGCCTTGATACTGGCTGATGATGGAGTACGTACGTCCCCTGACCCATGGGCCTTGGTACTGGTTGATGATGGATCACGTACGTCCCCTGGCCCTTGGTGTTTGACCTTCTTCTTGGGCCCTTAACAGGACACTCGTAGGTGATATGTTAATTATTCAAAGATCACAAAGTTAAAATAATAAATTTTAAAATAATGTTCAAAACAATTGGCTTTTAGTTGAATTGAGACAATCAAATGG